GGGGAGGAGCCGCACCGTGTCGGCAACGTCAAGCTGACACGGTGCGTTTGGGAACCTTGTCCCTTCCCCAGCCCTTCAGCAGCCATTAGGAAGCTGCTGAGGGGCTGGGGGAGGGACAAGGGGTAGAAATGAAAGTCAACAGTGTTTACTTCCGTTTCCTGTCGCAGCACTGTGGGCCACAGAAAATGGCTTGGCGGGCCACATGGTGGCCCGTGGGCCATATGTTGGACAAGCCTGCTCTAGGTCAATATTCAGAATGGTCTTGTGTACTAGTATAACAGACACTACTCTAGAAGGGCATGTGTGACTCAGTGGTCAGCATGTGACAACTCTCTCTGTACCGAGCCCAGAGAGAGATAAGAGTGTTGCAACCCCCAAACGCAGAACCTGCCAGCAGAGATCCATGCTGTCAGCTTGGGAAGCTCCCTGTTTGAACTCTTAGATGCATTTCATGCTAATTATTAAACAATGAAAGCTGTCACCTGTTTTATAGCCAATGTTTCCAGGCACTAATGTAGAACTACCTTTCCCCAAGAAGTAGTCAATGGAGACAATGGGATGTTCGCTTTCATCAGCGAGAGGAAGCAGCAAGCAAAGTCCCTAGATCTATGCCTATTATAATGACTCTTCTAACCCCATTACAAACCACAGATTCTGGCCACTGCTAAGAAGGAAAATTGAAGAAAAAGTAGAGAGTTCTTACTAATACTTTGAGTGCTAATAATTACTCAGAAATGGCTTTGGCTTTTGCCTAGAGATCCTTAGAATTCATCAGAGGCTACTTCCCCACTTTTAGCCCAGGAGGTATAATTTTGTTATAACGCATTTGGGAATGGGCTGGGACTTTCAGTTACTTCTCCATCTGTACACGTCAAGATAAACCCTGCACACACCTTTGCTCTATGCATTGTAGACATAAGTTGTTCTCAGGTACAGCTGTGTAAATCTGTAGAGCTGCATTTGACACCAAATGGATGCATTTAGTATACCAAAGCCTTTAAGAACAGGAACAAAAATGCTATAGGAACTGAGTAAGAACCACCTGCATGACTGGGGAGTCCCAGAACTGGCAGCAATAGCCCAGCTTCTATGAATGTGAGAATATTGGCTGCATCACATAACCAAGAGGAGGGGTTGGTTTTTTGTGTGTACCACTAACAAGGGACTCTTCAGATCAGCCCAAGACTGATTTTCAGGGATTTGGGGTGCCCAGAGCTCAACCTGAGGTAGGAATTTTGAGGTACTCAGTACCTCTGAAAAATCAGGTTTGAGATCCTTGAGACATCAGAATTTTACATTCTCTTGGGGGGGGGGGGGGTTAAACACTGTAGCAGCCAAAAGTTTTCTACTTAACAATTTTAAAACAGAAAATTGAATGATTATCTAAATTATTTTCTCCACAAGAAGCATTTGCTTTTCACATACAATTCTGATGGTCTTTGCTATTAAGAAACTCTGACACCTGCAACTTGAAATATTTTGGTTTAGCAATGCCATCACAGAGCCTCACGGCAATTGAAGTTCAGATGCCTTATGCTCCTCACCATCCTGTCTATGCTGAGCTCCCTATTTGGACTACATCTCCTATGACTGACTTCAGTATGGAGTCTGGGACTCCACATGGTGCACCACTTCCCTCCTCTAACACAACATGGTACATATTAGGAGACAGAGGTTCAATCTGGCAATACAAGAGCATGGGAGCTGGAGGCACCTGAATTACAGCTTCTATGAAGCAGCATTTAAAAAAAATTGGGGGTGAGGACATAGATTTTTTTTTTTTTAATGTTACTGAAATTCAAAATTTTCTGTGGAAAATTTAGATGCAAATTATTCCCTCATTTTAGCTGAAATTTTCCCTGAAACTTCAACCTATCCATGTTTGCCCAAATTTAAATCCAGAGCTAATTTTCTTGTTTCCAGCCTTTCTTTTATTGCGCAAAATCTTTACAGAGCTAGTTTGCACCTGTTTTAACTCCCCTATGACCCAGCATTCAATTTAGGATGACCATTTGGCTCCTAACCTCCAAGATGCATCTGGGGTACTATTTGGCCCACATTGCTCATAATCTCATTGGCTACAAGGCTGGTTTCTTCTGATTGATGAGACATCACATAGGAAGAATTGAAGACAGGATGCTGACATTTTTCATCTGATATAGTTTGAATCTCAGGAACACTTTTGAGAGGCAACTCTATTTTGTTCAATTTTTTTCCTGTTTGTTACTCTGTTTCTATTTTAAGGATCTGGTAAATCACATTTTCAGAAAAGGACTATTACTATTGATTTTAAGTGACTTAGTATTTCGCCTTCTGACTTGGTATTCTTGAAAAGGTCCAGATTTTCAAAAAGCTGAATTTTTACACAAGGGGGACATCTACACATGCATTTAAGCACGGCTACATTTAATGTGCATTGAGCAATTTTTGGCAGGTGTCTACACGTGCATGGACTCAGCACTATAGTTGGTGTTATAGGATGATCCTGTTTGAATTTAATCTCCATCACTTATTTTAGTCCCAGATTGAGATTACTTTTATTAGTTTATTTATCACTGGCAAACATAGCAACATTTGCCAATTCTAAGAATATTAGTGTTACACATCCAGAAATCCTGATGTTGAGCACTGTCTGTCTTCGAAAGCTAGAAATATCTGGGAAAAGGAAAAAACCTACTAAAAAAGAAGCTGAACATGTACTGTGATTTACAATTAAGTATCCTTACTGCAAGACTGCTACAATCCTTTAAAACAAAGATGTTGAAGTGCTACCATGCATTTCCAATAAATGATAACAATGTAAATATTTTCTGGGTGAATTTAAATTACACTGTAAATGAGATTCTGAATTTAACAATCATTTGCTGCATTGTTTTTACAAACAACTGGCAGACTACATGAATAGATACATTCTGTACATAAATTTGCAGCTGGAGATTCCAACATCTTTCAGAAAATTCACAAGCCATGCAGATAACTGTGCACCAAAAACCTTGGGCATCAACAGGTCTTGCAGCTCTGAAGGACAACTTTGGGGAAATGATAGGTTCTGACAAAACTAGACATTTGTACAGTGTGTATTCACAGTAACAGCTGCCAGCTTGGCTGTCTACAATAAACATTTATTGCTACTCCAGAAGCCTGGCAAAACCAACACAGCTCAGAGAAGGACCTAGATTCTCTTCTGGCTCATACAGCTTCAGCAGGCTTCTAACTTAAGTCCTGACAGAAAACCTTCACTATAGGTAATGCATGAAGCCAGAAAGACTCCAGCTTAACTCAGATCAGTCATTTATAAAACTGACCCCACTGGATAGGAAATCACTGAGTGATAGTAAACAGAGTCCCATTGTGCCATGTTAAACAGTCATTTTTTGAAACACAGCCATGCTTGAATGAAGCAGTTTCTTTGGAAATGATCCTTACACCTACCTTTCTTAAAGGCTTTAATTTGGTCTCCATGATGAACTCGTACTTGCAGAGTTCACAGCATCGGGTGTCAGAACTCTTGATCCATTGCTGCAGGCAGGCTTGGTGCACAAAATGAAGACTTCCTGTGCAGTGACAGGGGGTTATCAAGGGACTCTCGTCATCTCCTTCACAGTGACATATCCTGTATCAGAAGCAATGCAGCTCATTAGAAGGAGACAGAGAAGATGGAGAAGCTGAGGTGCCATAGAAGAGGCAGGAATAATGCGTGATGACAAATGGTCACCCATTGAGGATCCCAAAAGACAAATATTTCATAAAAGAATATATCCATCAGCTAAAAACATAAAATACCACATAAATAATGGTGCACAGGCACTGCTAACCACAGCTCTATAGCAGACGCACAAGGTCTGAAAAAAAACTGATAACAAAAAAGAGAAAGAGGAGGGTAAGAAATTACAACATGGCATCTCATCTACTAGAACAACAGTACTTTACTGAAAGTGGCATTTAAGCGGTATGGATGACACTTCCCAAAACAGGTCGTGTGTGGAGAGATGCGAGGCTAATTGGAACTTGCAATTAAAACAAGTCTACAGTAAAGCTGGAATTTAAACCTCCAGAGCTGTACAGAGACACCTTAAACCACTCTGCCACCACACCCTATAAGAGGATGAGGGCTGTGATAACAGACGTTACACTTAGTGCTCCCCACTTGCCAACTCACCAATCCTGGCAGAGTCATGGACTCTCCCCACTAAGAAAGGTTCAGGGCTGGAGGGCTGCCTCTGGGTGCCTCAGATGTAATTAAGCTTCTTCAGCTTCACCGTTCGTTTAGATCATACAGCTGTAGTTGGTCCCTAAGCCATGGATGTGTGTCAAGGCCACAATCTGGCCTATTACTACCACTGGGATGTTTTATCACACTTTTTACTTAAAGCCACCAGGTATAAATATATCTGTGAAAATGAATGGAAATATCTTAAAGAATCATAACTAAATTGACCCCCCCAAGCTGAGGAAGCAACGCTTAAATGGCCATCCTTGCAACAACAGTCAGCAAAGCACATTATTGCTCTTTAAGCTAAAAAATTGTTCAATTTTCCCTTTAATATGTGTAGCTTATTCTCTCAGATATTCTTGGCTTTGGCACCAATAAAACCGTGTTGGAACACAGAGCTGAGAAACGAAATCACTTTGGGGTGCAAAGAATTCATTGACTCAAAAAGGAAGCCTCTGCTTTGCAGACAGATATTATAATGTATGGGGAAAGCTGTGGGCCTCAAACTGCACATATTAAAGGAAGGTGACAGAAGTCAGAGAAAGCAGACCAGGCCCCCGCAAACGTGCGAGGTTTCAGAGGAAGGCGGTTCTCTGTAAACCAACCTGCAGGTATCCCCTGATGCTGACACAGGGGAGAGAGGGGGGAATTTTTCTGATAGAGGGGAAGGGCAGTCTAGGTCACTGTCCTTCTCAGCTGAGCAGAGCGGTGCCCGCAGCTCTTTCATCTTCAGCTTCACAGAAGCACTGTCCTCAAACACATCATCATCTCCCATGTCATCGGAGCCAAAGCCTGTGCTTTCCACCAGCATGCTGGAAGATTTCTCTGCGTGAACATGGCTTGGATAGCTCTCCAGTTCATGGAACTTATGCAGGCTGCTGGCACTTGCAGTGTGGGAAAAGGAGAAAAGATAACGCAGCAGCTTTTTGCTTCTTGATATCTCATGGTCCACCCTGTCCTCCAGGAGAGGAATGTGTACCATGCTTTCGTTCTCTGCTCCTCCTGATGCACTCGAGCCATTGGAAAAAGAAGGGATATAGGAGTGTTTGGAACTGTTAAAAGAAAGAGGCCCAAGATTGAGTAATTTCTTCTCTTTCAAGTGAAATCTGTTAATCCTTGAACACTGCTCCTGAGCTGGTGTCAATTTGCCTTCTGAGCATGTTCGCTCCATGTAGTTAAAGCCCGCAACGGTGCTTTGTGCCCTCTGGTCAACGTCATTGAGGGACTTGGAGAATTTCAGAGAGTGGGTGGAGCTTGCATTGTTGGCAGCCTGGACTGGTTGCACCCAATCCTGCCCATGGGAATTTCTCTTTGATGCCTGTAACGTGTCTTGACAGATTACTGTCACAGTGACCCCTTGTGTCAGAGAATTCTGGCAGTTAGGATTTTTCAAGACAACAGCAGACTGCACTGGACTGTGATGACAACATTCAGAAAACACTGCACTGGAACTGCATGCAGAACAGTGGAATAAAAGCACAGAAAGTAAAAACAATTACAAAAGAGAACATGGATAATTAAAGCGAAGAAATGAGAATTATGGCTACAGTAGGGATGGTAAATACAGTGAGCAAAACAGTAAGTGGGATCCAACAGAGCAGTGTTAGACAGCAATCAAGTCAAACAAACAGGACATTAGGATCAGAACCCCATGTTGCTCACTTCCCAGGGTACATGCTTTCTAGTTAATTGGTCCTTGTTGGAGCCTCATTGTTGCCCTACACACAACTCACTTTACCTGCAGATGTCCTGATTGGATGGTGTAACAGATGTCCGAGGGAAGCTATGAGGAGCAGAAACAGAGGTTGGACTGCCAGCCTGCAATGAGAAATCACAGGTTAGCTTTCAAATTGTTTGTTTTTACATACCATCAACCTTCAGCATTAACACAGTACACTGAAGTTAGTTACTGCACCAGATCCAGTGGTCTCAGGTTAGCTGTAAGTGTGGGAGGCTTTATTGCTGACTGTCAGAGAGCTTAGCATGAATAATGAACATGTACTGCCACAAAGTAGTAATTTGTATACATGGAGCATTGCTCTTAACATCAAAATGCAATGATTTCTGGGGTAGGATCTACTAGCTTGTAAACACTGCACAAAACAGGAACTGTTATACCCAATCAAAGGAAAAATTAGATGTGGAGAGAGAATATGTATTCGGGTAGAAATTAGCACACAGAAGCTACCACTTCTACTTTTAAGAAAAACACAGAGGGACTTTTAACAACAAGATATCAGGGTATTGGTTTTCCAGCAGGCAGGACTATCAAGAATTCAGTATCACAAACACAATTTGGGGGCCTATTTTTAGTACCAGCACCTGGAAATAGCCCTAACTGCTAATAAGACTGCCCCTGAAGGGGACTCTATATTTTGAAGTCCTATACTGTGGACTTATAGGGTGTCTATACACATGTTTCAGGAGTGGGAGGGGAGGACCTTAGAGTGGCTCCAAGAGTTGCTGTAATTAAAGCACCTGGAGTGTCTCATGTATCAGCATCCCCAGACTGGAAAATGGCAGTGGGGGTACTTTAACAAAAGCTTGTCAAATGAGCTTTAGTTAAAGTACCCCCATCGCCATTTTTCAGGATGAGGACGCTGATACATAAGACACTGGAGTCTGCTGGAGTGTGGTAGTTATCACGCTAAAGCAGACTCAATTAATCAAGTTCGCTCCAACCAGGGTCGGTGAGTAGGGGGTACACGCAGGTGCAAGTGCACCCCCCCGAGCATGGCGGTGCACCCCCTAAAAAAAGGCACTGCCAACACCGCTGGCAGCATCTGTGGGCTAGTCCGCGATCTGCACCAGCTGCCACCACCACTGCTGGTGGTGGCTGCAGGTGGTGGCCAACCCCTGGTCAATGCTCACCACCCTCCCCACTGCCACCGACTATGCCCCCCTGCCTATCTAAGTACAGACAAATCCTAGTGATGTTTAGTTTTTGAGACCCAAGAAGATCACAGCCTGAAATGAAACAATGAAACAAATTCTGCTGGCCCATGTGAAAAATACATAGCATCATTTTGGGCTGAAATTAACAAAGAAAACTTTAGGCGAAATTTCAGGAAAACTGATGGATTAGATTGCACAATAATCAGTAAGGGGAAAATGGCAGAAGTTCCAACCGTTCACACATTTAAATTGGGTAAAATAGCAAGAGCAAGGCAATCTTGCCCTGCTGGTAGGACTAGCTAGATCCTGTGGTTTATTTTTATTGGAAGTTTCCAGCCATCCTAAAGTTTTCTGAGAGACAGAAGCTGGTTAACTCTCTGTAAATGGGTAATCTTCAGGACTGGCTCCGTGTGTTTTACAATTTTACACCTAGGTGCAGAATCAGATCTCACCATTTAAACATAAAACTGTTTTCCAGCCCACCTGGTTGCAAAGCAAAGCTTGAAATATGGACAGAGAATAGGCAGTGAAATGTCAGCCTGATCCTGAAGACAGCCTGAAGCAAGAGCTCTAATTGGTGTGAAATCCCCCATCCACTTTCCTGGGTTACTCTGAAACCTAATGATGACCATTTAACAATTATTATTTAACAATAATGCCTTCACTATTTAACTTTTCAGGAGACATGTCCAGCTAATGTGCTGGCCCCACCATCCTAAACTGACTCAGGGCTCCTTCTGCTGCCAAAATTACAGGCTTCCCAATGGCAACTTTTATCATTCAGTTCTCTGTTTCCAATACAAAGCGCCTTGGGACATAAAAACTGGAACAGCATCAAATAAGTGTGATTTTCTACCAAAATAAAGATTATGTTACTGCGTGCATGATTCCATTCTGTATCTAAAGCCTTCAAAGCCCTGATGGCATGTTCAAGCAAAGCTGCTCCAGAGATCAGGAATCTGGCTGCTAGAGGCCAGATCTACATAACAGGTTTGCTCTCTCTTGGAGGCAAAACCCCTTCCTCCTGCTAGGAGAACAATGCCAGCTCTGCAAGCAACAGAAGGCTTCTGCCACCACAGAGAAGCTTCCCGAAAGTGCATAAAAATATGCCAACATTTTCTGCTAGCAGCTGTGGCCCCTAGAACAGCTGGTGCCTCTTAGGGTGCACTGCGGCACAGCTGCTGTAGTGGAGCTGCCATAACCTGTGAGAGGGGAGATGTGCTCTGGCAGGTTCCCTGTGGGGACAAAAGGCTTGTAATGCTGAGAAGCCTAAAAATAATTTCTGCTTGCCACAGAGCATGCACCACACAGTGCTTATGGGACGAGGATGAATTTACTGCAGGACACAGGAATTTAAAATTAAATGACCATTTAAGACAGAAGCAACAGAAGACTACAAAGATGTTTGAATAATCTTAAGTATGTAACAAACCAACTGCAACTTGAATGATCAGTTGCCATCAATCATGTATTTTATGCCATGCAGCCAATGAGCTGCTGATACAGCTAAGTGATAATGTGCATACACTGAGGTGCGTTCAGGACAGTGCCAGCTGTTAGTATAACGCCCTTTTTTTGCCTGTTTCACAGCCATGTTACCACTTAAAAGAAAGTTTCTCTCTGCCGTGAAATGAGCCAATCTCTTTAAGTACATTTCAGGAATGATTATGGCTGTTTCTCTAACCACTTCTTTTTCTATGCCTGTCTGCTATAATTATGCAAATGCACATTAGTTTCTCTTTAAAATTACACTATATTTAAAAGCATATTTAGCAATTTCTTAAAAACAAAATGCTAACCCAACAGCATGGAAGGGTGCACTTTGCCATGGAAATGTTCATGAGCGTGTTGCCATCAGAACTAGAGAAACTGATTCAAGAAATAAACACCCTTCTGCCTTTCCGTTATGCTAAGGGATGACAAGGTCCAATGGTCACAAACTCCTCCAAGACCATTTTAGGCTAGGCATACGGAAAAACTTCCTTATTGTCTGAGCCCCCAAGGCCAGGAATAGACTCCTTCCAGAGGTGGCACAAGCACCTACTCTGGACTCTTTTAAGAAACATTTGGACGCTTATCTTGCTGAGATCCTTTGACCCTAGCTGACTTCCTGCCTCTGGGGCAGGGGGCTGGACTCGATCTTCCGGGGTCCCTTCCAGCCCTAACGTCTATGAAATCTATGAAATTTCCTCTTGTTACTTCCAAAGAAAACAAAATCAAAACAAAACAAAAATCAGTGAATATATGACACTATTATCTACAATAGCAGAGAAGTAGACTTAATGAAATAGGAGGACCCTTCCAGTCTTATGTTCCTGCGCTTGCTGCTTTCTTGACCTCATCAACCTAGCACCAGTCTGGCTGCTCAGGAGAGTAAAGGATTTGGATGAGTGCTGTGGGAAGCCAACCCTTCCAACTACTTTTGAAGGTAGAGTTGATGCATCAGGATTTGATTAGCCATCCATAGGCATACCACAAACCATGAACACCATCTGACTCCAGCCTAAGGAGGCCCCAGGACCAAGAACTGCTCCACAACTTGTTGCCATGCAGTTGTAACAAGAGACCCTTGTATAAAGGGTACTAGACCTTGTATAAAGGGTATCAAGATGAACAGTGATCACTTAGTCCCAGGGAACTTTTAGAATAGAGCCCCAGAAATGCCAGGTTGAAAGGCATAGTATCTTGCAAGAGAGATCTTTATCACACAGCTCACACTGTATGTACAGAAACTTTTCATAAAGAACTAACTACTTTCAATAACGAGGTAAAATGCTTTGATCACCTATGTTCTTATTCTGCCACCCCAGAAACTCCATGGTAGCCCAGTCCTCAGACTGCCTCTAGAGATGCCACACTTCCTGTACATATTTCCAGGAAAGCTTATTTTCTGGCACAGAAGGCAGATAGAAGGGACTTCAGGAGATCACATAGTTCAATGTCTAGATTGCCTAAATTTGTTTGGGAAAATCTCCCATGAAGCAGATTCCATAACCTCCACAGGGAGCTTGTTTCAGTGTTTTACTACAAAACAGGTCAGAAACATTTCCTAATAGCCTATTCAAATATTTTTTGCTGTACATTAAGCCAATATTCTAGTACTTCTTCCAATGCTCACAGCAGTGATTCTCAACCAGGGTGGTGAGGGATTCTTTCAGGGGTGCCAGACAATGTTAACACTGGTAAGTGTGCAAATGTGATTCACAAAATAAACCCAGAGATTTCAAAACGAATCCATGGTGTTGGAAATATTCTGATTTGCTGTGGTCTTTTTGAATTCTTTGACACAGAAAACTCTTCTGGAGTCAAAAAGCAAGTGAAGATTAAGAGCTAGCATTTTCTAAGGAGTGCCTCGAGTCCAACAACAGGTGCTTTGAGTTTAACAAGGAGAATCACTGCTTCATGGGGAAGGATTAATTGCTTTCCTCTTTAAACCAGCTTTTTACATTTTGGAAGACTTAACATGATTTTCTCTTTTCTAGACTGAGCAAATCCAACTTCTTTTTCATACACACCTCTTCCTCATTGGTCAGGATTTCCAAACTTAATATTACTCTCTCAAGTTTGTCTACATCTTTCTCAGTGTTGTGACCAAAACTGAACAAATACACCAGCTGTAGCACTACCAGCAGCGAATAATGCAGAATAAACACATCCAGGCATGTCTACACATGGGCATTTAATGTGCATTAGCCTGATTTAAAGCAAATTAAGGGCGTGCATCTACATGTATGCACACTTAATGAGCCTTAAAACTGGCACATTTAGGCTAATCCTGCCTAAATTTGATACCTGCATGAAGCAAGTATTAAATTTAGGCACAGATAGTTAAAATGCATTAGTGCACGTATAGGCACGTTAACATGCATTAACACAGGGACTTTAGTGCTGGGTCTGCCTAGCCACTAGGGGGCTGGCCAGAG